AACTATTAGGAAATTTATGGACATTTTGTTTTTCTTGACTTTTTGTGGTTGAATATTTGGTTGTTGAATATATTTTGGTTGAATATTTATTTTGATATATTTTGGTTGAATTTTTGGTTGTTTAATATTTAGTTGTGGAATTGATTTCGACAAACAGGTGTTCTATTTTATTTCTATTGTAAAATTGCTGTTTCTGTACAGTAAAATTGTTGGTTGTTTGGAATATGCATAGAAAAGTGTTAAAGGACTGAAAAATGACAAAATCGAGCTGCAGATGGGTCACACGACTCGTGTGACCCATGACACGAGTCGTGTGGCTTCAAGAGAATGATTTTTTACCTACGGCTTTTTCACACGGGTCGTGTGTCATGTGAAACGAGTCGTGTGACGTTACACGACCCGTGTGGTTATGTCGTGTGAGTCTGGGAGTAATTTTTTTTTAATTGAAAACGTATTGTCATAATACGTTTTATGTTTTAATTTTTTTAACTGAAAACGTATTGTCATAATACGGTTTTTGGATGGAAACCGTAATCTGAAAATACGGTTTCATTTTAAAAAAAAATTAAATTTTACTAATTTTTTTTAATTTATAGTATATAAAAATTATTTTAAAAAAAAGCGTATATTAAAAATACGTTTTAATTTTTAAAGCGTATTCTGAAAATACGTTTCATTTAAAACGTATTATGAGAGGACGTTTTATTTTACATTAATTTTCTTAATCGTGATTTAATTAAGTTAATCGTGTTTAAAAATTTATTTCGATATAAAACGTAACATGAGAATACGTTTTCTTCTGGAAACGTATCCTCGGAATACGTTTTCAAATTGAAAACGTATTCTCAGTATCCGGCTGTTTTATTTTGGTCGACAGCCTTTTTTTTTTATTATTTTTGTCCATTTTTTTTTTGATTTAAATAATAAATTCAAAAAATGTTTATATATTTTTTTAAAAAAATTTGAAAAAAAAATAAAACAATACATAACAATTATAATAAATAACTAAGTGAATTAACATTATCGTTTTAAATTGTGTAAAAGTAGTTTATATACATCATTAGTTTTATTTATATGTTTTTATTTAAAACACATAAGATAATAATACTGAAAGTAAGAAAATATTCACATTACAGAAAAAAAAATTATATTAAATTATTTAATTATAATAAATTTATGGCATTCATAGCTAAGCTATTTGACATAAAAAATTCGTAATATACATCCGAATCATATTACAAAGCATAATATTTCGCCAATAAGATCACGAAGCGAAACTACCATGTAGGCTCATCGCATTATGAAATTATATATAAAGGTCAAATCAAGTGGCTCTTGATGCTACTCTTAGAGGCACTGCAGTCCGCTCTAGGGTCAAGAGTCCTAGAACTGACTGCAGTGGGCTGAGTATTTCCTAGTTGGGCGAACCAGCCTGGAAGTCGCTGGGCTTTGGTAGAAGATTGCTAGCCTCATTGGCCCAATAACAGTTTTCCAATCCTTTATAAAAGGCACTGTCTGGGATTATATTTTTTTTTGGTTAATTGTTATTTAAGCTTTTATATTTTTGCGTTTGTCAATTCAGTCTAAACTTTTAGATAATTGCAATGTAATATTGATTTTGACTTACTTTTATAAAACGAACTTAATCTTTGTCGGAGATTCGAAAAATGCCAATGTGTCCGGCTGCTTCTATCCACGTTGGATTTTTAGTTTGCTGAGTGGCAAATTTTTTTGTGACTGAAAACTTATGTTGCGATGACATAGCTCATATGTGGAATTAATAAGTTAGGAAAAAAATTAAAAAATCTACCTCAATTAAAATTTTTGAAAATGTACCTAAATTAACGTAAATATAAGCAGTTGGACATGTTGACATTTTTTTAATCTTCGACGGAGATTAAGTTCGTTTTGCAAAAGTAAGTCAAAGTCAGGATTATATTGTAACCAATGTTCCAAAAGTCAGCCTAGGCGGCTGCCTAGGCGCTAGACGCCGGTACAACGCCTACGATTTCGCCAAATCGGCCGGGCAGGCTCGGCCTAGGCGGAGCTAGGCAGCCTCGGCGGCTACGCGGTTTCAGCGGGACTAAGCGGCTGAGGCGGATTCTAGGCGGTTTTTACAAATTTTTTTTTTACTAAATGCATTTAGTTTAAATAATAAATCTTATAATTTATTATTTTATAATTTTTATTTTATCTTATGTTGTGTAATATTTAAAACATAACATGTAGATAATGTGTTTGATAAAATTACAATAAGAATAAGTTATATTGTGGTTATGCACTTATTTTGACTTGGAGTTTTTTTTTTTTTTTATAATAT